CATATCTTTCTGGTTTTTAAAACGGTATCATTTGAATTTCCATTTCCAAGCATTATTTTGAACTGTCCCGAAATTGGTTTTCTTTCTTGAAATCAGACTACAGCCCCAGTCTAAAGTGCTTGTCCTCCCAGACAAGGACAAAGAGCCTCTTCGGTAGGTAGGGACAATGCATCAAAATAACGCGGTCATTGTTGCAATGTCAGGAATGCTATTATTACCTCCTCTTTGGTAATCCTCGCATTTGACCAAACAAAAGTCACTCAATGAAGGGAGGGTCAGGTTTGTTTTTCAATTCACTAATATTATTGATGCCATGTCAGAAAGAGCTGAGTAGTTTGTTACGTAACTATTCAAAAATTGCAGGTGCAAGCTATTGAAAACAGAATCGAATAGCCAAGCTTCCCTATTCATTGGTGCCCTGTTAAGAATTCGTAGCATATACTGAATTGAATAGACCCGTGTTCTATCATTATACTATGTGAGGGCAGTGGCCTCTTGTCATATCACTTAAGTTTAAGTCACAGTTTGCAAATTAAATAATAAACATAAAAACCTCACTATTATATCAGTAATATCAGTAACTGAAAGAAAAAAAATACGGGCAATCTTGGACAACATCGGACTACAAAAAATGATGATAATAATGCATCCCGAAAGCGTCAAATCAGTAAATCGGCACATTTTGTAAAGTCATAGCATGCAGAAAGTGTTAACAACAAAGCGAACCAGTTATCACGGTGAGGCAAAATGGTCTTGTGGATAAAAGTGATCACTTCAACAATGCAATGTACTCGGTTCGAGTCTCAGTTTCTCCTTTATATAAAAACCCATGTTATTTTTTTTTCTTCACTCCATAATATTGACTTGTCATCTCTTTTTTAAAGGGGGACACCCCCCCCCCCCTCAACAAAGAAAAATAGCATGTAATACTCTTTCTTTAACAAGCGACTCTCTGAATTAGTCAGAAAACATCTTTTGCTACATCTAACAACATTAGTGTAAGTATGAAGAGATACATGAAGATTAGCAATGTGACACTTTAGTCTAGTGGGTAGGCAATCGTCTGATAACTGAAGGTTATCGGGTTCGACCCCCAGCTGTTGCGTTTTTTCTTTTTTGCTACCTCTATAACAATAAGTATAAGTATGAAAAAAAAAATGGAGATTAGCAATGTGACACTTTAGTCTAGTGGGTAGGCAATCGCCTGGTAACTGGAAAGTATCGGGTTCGACCCCCAGCTGTTGCGTTTTTTTCTTTTGCTACATCTACAACAATAAGTATAAGTATGAAAAAAAAAAACATGGAGATTAGCAATGTGACACTTTAGTCTAGTGGGTAGGCAATCGCCTGGTAACTGGAAGGTATCGGGTTCGACACCCAGCATGTTGCTTTTTTTTTAATCTTTAAAAAGAAAAACTGATGTCAAACCCATTTTGATCTCACTCAAAGTCCATATTTATTGCTATTCTCTTATTGATCTATACAATGAGCTTGCAATAACTTGTAAGCAAGGTAAGTATTATATTACGAAGTACAAGAAGGACAGGAATCCTGTTTTATCTATTTATCAAACATTATTACATTCAATACTTTTTTTCAGTCCCAATGAGAGAGAGAGAGAGAGAAGAGAAAGAGAGCCAGAAAGAGACAAGTGAAGAGAACCCAATACACCTCATCAGTGTAATAAAGTCTGATGATCTTAATCTACATACTTACTTCAAATATTTTGCCGGGCAGATATTATTATTTATAAAAACAAACCAATTTGGAGTTTTATAATAAATATTATTGTTGTTGTTGTTGTTGATGTAAAACAATGAGAAAATAGGGACCTTTTGCGGGGGGGGGGGAGCAATGTAGAAAAAAACTACAGGGGAGCCTTGGGATTTTTATTGGGGGGGGGGGGGGGGTGGGTATCGGCGGATTCAGGATTTCTTAGGGGGGCCCAAACTTGAAATCAATTTGAAATTTAATGTGCTGAATAAAAAAAAATCGTGCCGGCCGATATTTCACTCAGTGGTAGAGGGGGAAGGGGGAGGGGGGGGGGGGGGGGTATGAGAGCACTATTTTTGTTTGGCCGTCGAAAATTTGAAAAATCACCCCCCCCCCCCCCACATTAATCGCCAGGGGGGTTCCCATCTAGACAGCTAGCTGGCAATCGACAGCTAGCTGCAATCGACAGCTAGCTGGCAATCGACAGCTAGCTGGCAATCGACAGCTAGTGGCAATCGACAGCTAGCTGGCAATCGACAGCGTAGCCTGCGGCGGTAGTAGCGGTAGCCCCAAAGCCATGTCCATTTAAAAACTGCATTCAAGAGCCTCTTATTGCTAGGTTTACAACGTTGTTTTACATTTGCAATTATAATTTCCTAGTTTTATTCACTCTCTACAGTCCCGTACTATCCCTTTTCCGTCTGTAAACAACTTTGCAACACGAAAACAATGATGAACAGGGTTTTACTTCTCGTATAAATTTATTAGAAGTGCCCTATGTCATTTTGCACGAAGTGATACAAAGGGCCTTTCAAATTTAAGTCTATTGAAAGCATTCCCCCACCTAGCCTGTATGACCGAGCAGAATCATTTAGTGCTCAACAATAAAAATCCACAGTCTTGGCTAAAGAGGTCCATTATTTTGTTTGTTTATTTAGTTATTTTATTTAATTGACATTGTACAGTACTATTAAATATCAGGTATATTGGATGCTCTGTTTTAAATACAGTCAAGATTGCCGAGCAATGAATTACATCCTGCTTCTTGTCCTCAAACCATATCTTTCTGGTTTTTAAAACGGTATCATTTGAATTTCCATTTCCCAAGCATTATTTTGAACTGTCCCGAAATTGTTTTCCTTTCTTGAAATCAGACTACAGTCCCAGTCCTAGACAGGAAACAGAGCCTCTACATAATAGACTTCGTTCGTACGCCATTTGCTTTGAATATTCATTCATAGTATTTCGATAGCATTACGTCATCTTTCATACGCCTGTCCGGCATGCATTTCGAGGAACTTGTACTTTTCTATCGGTAGCGTACATAGAGATACATACTACTAAGCAAAGAGATTCGATCATACACAGTATGTCCTTCGTAGGAGGACTAGAGGGCCAACTAAATCGTGACCTTTGACATTTCATAGGTTTTGCATTGGATGAATTATTGGGGTTTTGTCCGATTTGAACGACGGTTTTGGAGGGTCAATGAATATTCATGAGCAATGACGTAAAAAATACGCCACTACTGTTCGTTGATTGGCCATCGAACAAAATGTTTATGTATTAGGTCATGCATAAAATTTTTTTCATTCCCAGAATTCCCTACGATTTGAGCACGAAAATGGCGGTTGTATGAACTGCGACTTTCAAGTTATTCAATTACGAACAATGAAACATTTTTCTTTTAAGTGAATTTCTATTATAATAGAAGTTTGTCAAGTACATCTTAGTGAGCAGAAAAATCTTCAGGCGAACATGACATCGAAGTGATACCCTATGATATCAAGAAAAGTAAGTAAAGATCCATTTTGTTGAAGTCTCTGAAATTATTGTGATGTGTTCGTCATTGCAGTGAGCGGCTCCCCGCATTGTCCAACGTATTACCCGGTTAACCCCCTACCCCATCCTCTTTTCTTTCTTCTGACCAAAGAGTATTAACTGATTGAATGAACTCTAATTAAGTCATCGACGGTAATATTTTTAGAAACAATCAGGATTTTACCGTAGGTTATTCATTAGAGCGCATCTCATAATTTTAAGTTCAGTTCATAGCTTGATTACCGATAGTAATCGGTCGTAGATGTGGACCTGTTGTAGACTGCGCAAATGGCTCATTGCTAGTCCAAGCCGATGAGATCTCGTCGAGCAGAATGTGATTTTCAATCCGCCGGTGCTAGCCGGCTGAAACCCAAGAAGCGACTGCGTTTCCTGAGCTGGCGCGGCTATGACTTTACAGTGTGTTAGTGTTACAGTAAAGCCTAGATCTAGACTAGTATTCATAGCATATTCTAGCCTGAATTTTCTGTCTCTTTCGTTCGTTAGCCTCTGATTTGGGTAGGGTCGGCTCCTCTCTTTAGCCGACCCTACCAAATCGGAGGCTAACGAACGAAGAGACAGAAAAATTCGGGCTATGCAGGCCTAACTTTAGATCTAGCAGTTGCACTGTCTTAAGTAGATCTAGATCTAGAAGTCTATAGAGTTCTAGACCCTAAACAGCATTTAACCCCGAATCTAGTATAGATCTAGGCCTAGATCTAGGGCTAGATTCTAGCCTAATGTACTCTACAAAAAATTCTAAATAGGGTCTAAATGCCTGATGTAGATTTCCTCTAGATCTAGGTGGATCAATGTGGAAGTTTAAGGAGGGGGGGGGGGGGTGCACAATCATTCTGTGCCCCCTTTTTAAGATGTGGCATAGCCATAGGGACGGGTCTAGATCTAGGTCCAGAGCCACCTACTAATAATATTAAAAATAGGCAATTAGATCTAGATCTATAGCTTGTAGCAAAGACTTCCAAAGCCATGGGTCTAGGCTCGTTTTGATCCACTAGACTAGACTAGTCGTGCACATGTGTCATTTATTGTGATCCAGGTCCAGATTCAGCTTAGTTTGAATGTAGATCTAGGCTAGATCTACCAACGACAACAAAAACAAAACAAAAAAGGTGTCTCTCCCCCCCCCCTCCCCACCTCCCACTTCCCCTGATTTCGCTGTTAGTTATGTCATTGTGCTTGTTTGAAATAATTAGTTTATTTTCAGGATTTTATGCCACTCCTTAGTTTTATGTTGGTGAGAATTCTGGATCCAACCCTACATAGACATGGATATTTCTTTCTCTAAAGGACATGAACAAAGTTATAAACAGATAACTTATGCATGCATTATGATATTAGCAGGAATCTTACTAAGTTTCTGTTTTCTTTTAATGTAGATGCTATGGAACAAAGAAGCAGATAATGATCACAGAAGTGCAACAAAGAGCACCAGGACCTGATCAACAAATGTATCTAATCAGGAACAGGACACCTAAGACCTAAGTTGAACTTTGGCAAGGTATGTTTGTATGAAGTTCGAAAATATTCAGGCTGTATATAAATCTAAGCCCATGCGAACACCACACTCGACTTGGACTATATACAAAGATTTGGGGAACTGTCATCTTGTGTTGCATTATATCTTGTAATTCTCAATTATTCTCTAGCTTTTTATTTAGGTGACAAACTATGGTGTTGCTACAGTTTATTCTCTCAGCATATTAAAAGATGTACTCAAAGGTACTTTTCCTAAATATTACATTATATCTAACAAACTTTTGTTCACAAAAGTCTAGCAAATAATAACTTAAAATAAATTGGAAATTACTTTTAAAATAATTGGAAATACATTTAAACCTTTACTCTTCTCTTCAAAAAAGGCCCTATCAGATAGACATAAGTTTATCATTTTTTAATAAAATTAAAATGCAAGACCTAAAAAAAGTGGGGAGGTACTATTTCTCAAAATCCAATATAATGCAGCAGTTTTAATCTTATTGATTTCTCCTCTCTTTTTGTTTTTTATTATGCAGGTTGTCCCATGCAGAAGGTTTGATTCCCAGGCTTCTTTTGTACAAGTCCCTTGTCTACCCTCATCTTGAGAACTGTTCCGGTGTCTGGGATCCCTACAACATCTCAGATGTCCAGGACGCTACTTCACAATGGGGACCACAAGAGAACCAGCAGTTTGACTGAGATGATCAGCACCTTTTAGTTGCCTACTATATCTACAACCACAAGGCACTCTGCAAGAAGACTGGGAATGGTGCACAAGATAGTCAATGGTCTCTCCGCTCTCCCTTGAAAATTTCCCCACTGCACTACTTATAGCTACTTGCGCCCTCTATATAGCAAACAATGCCTAATCGGTGCCTACTGGTCCCCCATGATCCTCTTTTTCTTATATTAATTGAGAGCTGATTTGATGAGATAACCACCTGTCAGTGACCTTGCAGGGTGGTCTAATCCCCCTGGCCAAACTAGTACAGACGGGCTTTAACAAATCACGAGCAGGAAGTACCATGACATGACCCTCCAGTTGCACCAAGCCAGAAGCGACATAGACAAGTTTGTATTTGCCCAACACTCTGTCCCAAAGTTAATGGAACTGACTTCCAGCAAATATAGTGCATGCTGACAGTCCAGCTGCCAGGGACTACTTCTGAGGCATCTACTCTCCTTATCCCACTTAAAAACAGTCTGTCTTCCTCACACCACTTGTAATCTTTAGTATTAGTTCATCTTCGTGAAAGGCTACAACGCCTTTTGAAGATTACCAGAAGAATAAGAAGAAGATATATCGAGGATCATGAAAGTAATCATATCTTCTTTTAAATGCGTGTACATGGAATATAGTTTTTTGATATTTAATCTTAAGTCAAGTTCTGACAAAAATATTAGGGATGCTGTACTGGATAGTAAATTGAAGGGGGGGGGGGGTTATAAAATTATGTAGTTCAATAGTAATACTGTAGTAATATAATTATACACTGTCGCTCATAAAGTTGGAATATTTTTGTTTTACCCTAATTTATGGAATTATTTTAAATATAATTTAAAAATAATAGATCTAGATAATAATATACATTCTCAGATCTTATTTTTAAATTATTTATAAAATAATTCCATAAATTGGGGTAAAACAAAAATATTCCAACTAATAGTAACAATAATGACAATGATCATGATAATAGTAGTAATAATAATGATAATACAGATAGTAGTAAAAACAACAACAATAATGTCCAATGTAAGATAAAGTACTCATAAAACTCAGTATATACCTGTTCTTTACATAATAAAATAGCATGTTGATATTATTGAATATTTTTTTCAAAATCTACAGTAAACTTTTACAACTGAAAAATTTGAATTCAAGAGACAGCCCCCCCCCCCCCCCATCCATTTGCCATCCTTTTGTTGATGTCATGTTGGATTTAAAAAGATCTTTATAGAAACAAAAAAAAATAAAAAAAAATAAATGAGTTCATAAATTTTAATAAATTAGTTGATACTGCTTAATTCTGTTCTTTTCATTTTCTTATTTTGTGAAATATATGTGATGATGCTGGTGATTATGATGATGTAGGCACTCTGTAATGATAATGCTGTATGACTGAGGTGAGATGGGGTCTGATGCAGTCTTGTGTAGAATTGAGTATGGTGTTCGACCTTTTGATGTTTGTTTATATCTGGTATCAGCGAGATAGATTTAACCATCTTTCCTAATGAGAGAAAGTGGAAATGTAACAAGAGAGTGGGCAAGACTAATGTATAAATACAGTATAAAAAATGGTTTACAATAAAGATGAGGGGGGGGGGGTTAAATAAAGAATAAGTCAATGCCAAAATGATGAAAGCATATAGGTAATTGGGGTGTGGATGGGGGAGGGAGGTTAATAGAGCCTATGGAAATGTCAATATTGGAAGGGGTCCCTGTATTGAAAATGTTACTGTTGGGGGGGGGGGGGGGCAAATTTCCCCAAAATCAGTGACGACGAATGCAAAAATTTAAATTTCATTGGGGATGGGGCACAATATGAAGAACATTGAAGTCGAGGTGAGAATGATTTCATTATTTGGACACTTAAAATATGAATATATCACTTGTTAAGTCGGCTAAATGATCAGTGCAGTTTTTCTGATTTAAAAACTATTTAAGTTAATAAACAAACAAAAAAAAGAGGTAAAAAATGAATTGAGGTACAACAGTGAAATGGGGTCATTATTTTTGCCTTTTAACTGAACTGAATTTTAAAAAATGTACTTTCCATCCTGGTGACAGTGAAGTTTGTGGCCCTAACTAAGTCAACCATTTAAAGTTTATTACCCCCCCCCCCCCCCTCCCCATATGGAAACGTTGTATCATCCGCTCAATCTGACTTGCGTGCATAGAACAAATAAGCATTTTTCCATAAAAAAGTGAAGTTTTCTAAAATGTGCGTTTCTTTCCAGCATTGGGGCGCCCGGAAGTCACTCGGGTAACATTTCATAAAGTATAATATAAAAAGACCATATGCAAATTTTCTGTACTTTTGTCGGAAAAAATACATTTATCCAGCACAATGTCGTCTCTTTTTGCGTTGGAGAAGAGCAAATAGCGAGTTTCAATCACACTTTGGCCGATCTCGCAAGCTCTCACTTGTTTCACTGTGGTCAAGAGACTTTGGGGCAAGCGGTTAATGAAAATACTAATCGTTAGCTTTCTTCTGGTATCAAACTTATTTTGATTGATTGTATAATTTTGTCGGAATAAAGGAAACAAAAATGCTCGACCAACAACTCATCAGCGTCTGAATTGACCTTTTGACCTTGAATTCCCTGATGCAAGCGCACTAATGACGTGATCTTTGCTAAATCGGTGTCTTTTATCGTAAAATGCGACACTTTCACAATGTTTATACATCTTTTTTAATTATTAGTAAGATATAACATATTTTTCTGATATCACTGAAGTTTTGGGTTTCATTTAATGAGTAATTTTAAAAAAAGAGCCATTTTATTGTTGTAATTTACTGGATCGTACCATTAAAGTTGCAGGGTAGAAAGATGCATTTTCCAACCGCGCCAAATTTAATTTACGTTCCGACATTATGTTAAATGGGTTCGTGTTGTTAAGAATCCACTGCTTTCTGCTCCAACAAACGTCCACATGCGGAGTCGTTTATCAACTAAATTATTCAAATTTATGGATGCTTCCTAGCTTCCCAGGTGTTTGTGTTGCTGTTGAAGCATTTCATTCACCTGCTATCATTCTTTGTACTCCAATTGCCAGAACGCAAATTTCATTTTGGTTTTATAGTTTCATCGGAGTCGTTTATCATATATAATTATGTATTCAAATTTATGAATGCTTCCTCTCCAGGTGTTTGTGGTGTTTATGCATTTCATTCACCTGTTATTATTCTTTGTACTCCAATTGTTAGAATACAAAATGCATTTTGGTTATATAGTTTCATGCAATAAGTAAGTCAATAAAAGAGTATGTTCTGCACAATAAAAACAATGTGTGTCCCTATTGTATAATGTAATGTGTCCCCTCATTTTGTAATAGTTAATTTACCCATTCACATAATGGAACTACCTGCCCGATGAAGCCATTGGCCTGTGACCCCTGAGCACTCAACACCGTGTGGGAGTCAGTTCGTGCTGATATTCTTTTATGAGACAAATACAAGCAAACGTTTCCATATGCCCCCCCCCCCCAACACACACACCTCCACAACTCTGCATGACCTTTGTTCTACATTTATCCGGCCCAATTATAGCCTTTAGTCAAGGCACTCGTGCTGTATTTCCCTAAACGCGCCTGAATACATAGACTAATCGCGCGACGACTGTGATCTGTGGGACGAGGTGCGTCAGCAGCTCGGCCTTTACTAACCTGAGTGGTTGTTGTAGTTTATTTCTTTTGTTTTGTATTATATTTCCGCTCCCGAATCAGGAGATAATTAGATGCAAAGTATCTTACCCAGAAAGCCGCCCAAACCGCCCCTTCCAATCCGACGCACCAATCAGAGTAGACGATTCGAGAAAACTTCATGCATATTCATTATCAACATGTATAATCATAAATACATTTTTGAGCGGTTTCAGAACGACGAAGGAGATCTCTTATCAAAGAGCCTTGAATATGCGGTCGAAAGGTTGAAATTATCATCTTTTAAGGAGTTACAATCAAAAGCTATAAAATCAGCAGTGAAAGGGGAAGATGTATTTGTTAATCTTCCAACGGGTTATGGCAAATCTGCGATTTTCAAGCCATTTCACTGTGCAAGGACTTCTTTGTGCGGACGACCACAGTCGCTGCCAGCACACCATCCCCATCGGCGTCTACTCCCGAAGCTGCCCAGAGTTCGGGGGCCGGGAGGTACTACTCACACCGCACTGCACTGTCCATTGAAGTTATCGTTTCACCTCTTATTTCTTTAATGAAGGAATGTGAACCAAACTTGTCACACACAATAAAATGATATCTTCAGTATAAGAAATAGCTAGGAAAACTCTTGCACAGGAACCATGCAGAATGTACTGCATAGAAGATATCTACCCTTTTTTGCACATCTATTACATTATAGACCTAAGCAGAATTACCAGAATTTGATGCCCTTTTCATTATTTTACTCACTTGCAGCTAGCTCAGCAGCTAGCCCTGCAAATTCAAAGCTCCATGAACGCATCGTTTTCACACGTACACAGATTCGAGTGTTTTATGGTTGTACAATAACAATTCCGACCAGCTGATCGTGCGAACCACTATGCGTAGGTTAAAATGAAAAACAAGGGAACAACATTTTACTATAAATCTACTAAAGTAGCAAAATAACAAATACCCTAGTCAATAAGTAGAATATTGTTTTTGATAAATTCATATTTTATTCGAAATTGAACTAGATATTATTTTTTTTTTTAGTACATTTGAATACCGATTCCCCCACAATTTCATGGACGAAGCCATTTTAAACACCGCGCGGTTAAAACAATTAGGATTGGCCACGATCATCACTAGCTGCTGTATATGTAAGACCCTCATGCATATGCACATAATGATGAGCTCCGCAATTTAGCAAAGGCCAAGCCGCTGAAGCGGCTCGGTCCAGCGATCACTGCTGTAAAGCCACACTGCGTTAGTCTATTTTCAGACCCTGCTCGGCAGACAAGCAGCGCGAGGCCTTGTCCAAAGGCTAGCCCAATTAAGGATTATGTCGATATAGTAACGCATGCGCATTGTCTTTTTTTCATTGCGATAATATGCTAATAAGTGGAAAAGAGTCATGAATATTCAAAATTTTAATTTAAATATTTTGCGCGCTACGCGCAGTCCAAAATCCCCATTTCGCTGGTGCACTAAAAATTTGTCGTCTTCATAGGCTAATACATGAAAAGTGGAAGCAGTGTGCACTTTTGACCCTCCAAAATCTCCCCATGGCTAGACGGATGCAGAAGCGGAGTTGAACTAATATACTAAGTACTAGCAGGACCCGCGGAAATCCGCGAATTCTAGAGGGGGGCGGGGGGTGTAAATAGATATATAGAGA